TTTCACGTGCACTCTCTCCATCGACACCAACACGTGAATTATCCGGTCAGACGCATTCTATTGGACGAGCAATCGAGGTGAAAATATCTACAGATGAATGTCACAATAATCGGCAAGACATGTGAGTTGGTGATCGGACGGAAACTCGCTGTTCATCTACCGCATCGTCAACAAAGCACAGTATCGAATTGAGAAGCACACTGACTATGGTTGTGAGCAATCACACAATCAGTCGGTTCTATCCTCACCTGTGTTACACACTGGTTCTAGTGTACCGCTTCACATGTGTCCCGGTGTGGCTTTGTGTGTAGTGCACATGTAGTCCCCCAATCCACACACAATCGCCTCATCATTGTGTGTGTGCATACATGCTTGCAAACATGATTGTGCACATGATCGACCCATTGTGTGTGCGTTTGTATGGCGGAACTCACTCTGTGATGTCTGTATGTGAATGATGGGTTTGTTGTTGGTGATTTCAAAACCGCCCGCGACCGCCGGGAGTCGAACCCGGGTCGACTGCCTCGCAAGGCAGCCATGATAGCCGTTACACCACGGTCGTGACTCATTCTACACCTCACACTGAATCCGCAACTACAACTACAACTACAACTACAACTACAACAACAAATACAACAACAAACACCCACTCGCAAACAAATCATGCATGCATTCACACTCACACACACACACACACTATATCATTCACTCCGAAAACAATCACCAACACTACCTCTCCAACTCTGTCCGATCATCTCCGACTGTCTCGAACTAACTGTCCCACAGCACCGACAGACACCACCACCTACAACGTGCCAACATCAGCAATATCGTCAACACTATGCACTATGTGTCCAGCTGAAATACACCACATCACAACTTTGCCTGACCAAACTACACAAAGCACAATTTTTCACGTGCACTCTCTCCATCGACACCAACACGTGAATTATCCGGTCAGACGCATTCTATTGGACGAGCAATCGAGGTGAAAATATCTACAGATGAATGTCACAATAATCGGCAAGACATGTGAGTTGGTGATCGGACGGAAACTCGCTGTTCATCTACCGCATCGTCAACAAAGCACAGTATCGAATTGAGAAGCACACTGACTATGGTTGTGAGCAATCACACAATCAGTCGGTTCTATCCTCACCTGTGTTACACACTGGTTCTAGTGTACCGCTTCACATGTGTCCCGGTGTGGCTTTGTGTGTAGTGCACATGTAGTCCCCCAATCCACACACAATCGCCTCATCATTGTGTGTGTGCATACATGCTTGCAAACATGATTGTGCACATGATCGACCCATTGTGTGTGCGTTTGTATGGCGGAACTCACTCTGTGATGTCTGTATGTGAATGATGGGTTTGTTGTTGGTGATTTCAAAACCGCCCGCGACCGCCGGGAGTCGAACCCGGGTCGACTGCCTCGCAAGGCAGCCATGATAGCCGTTACACCACGGTCGTGACTCATTCTACACCTCACACTGAATCCGCAACTACAACTACAACTACAACTACAACTACAACAACAAATACAACAACAAACACCCACTCCCAAACAAATCATGCATGCATTCACACTCACACACACACACACACTATATCATTCACTCCGAAAACAATCACCAACACTACCTCTCCAACTCTGTCCGATCATCTCCGACTGTCTCGAACTAACTCTCCCACAGCACCGACAGACACCACCACCTACAACGTGCCAACATCAGCAATATCGTCAACACTATGCACTATGTGTCCAGCTGAAATACACCACATCACAACTTTGCCTGACCAAACTACACAAAGCACAATTTTTCACGTGCACTCTCTCCATCGACACCAACACGTGAATTATCCGGTCAGACGCATTCTATTGGACGAGCAATCGAGGTGAAAATATCTACAGATGAATGTCACAATAATCGGCAAGACATGTGAGTTGGTGATCGGACGGAAACTCGCTGTTCATCTACCGCATCGTCAACAAAGCACAGTATCGAATTGAGAAGCACACTGACTATGGTTGTGAGCAATCACACAATCAGTCGGTTCTATCCTCACCTGTGTTACACACTGGTTCTAGTGTACCGCTTCACATGTGTCCCGGTGTGGCTTTGTGTGTAGTGCACATGTAGTCCCCCAATCCACACACAATCGCCTCATCATTGTGTGTGTGCATACATGCTTGCAAACATGATTGTGCACATGATCGACCCATTGTGTGTGCGTTTGTATGGCGGAACTCACTCTGTGATGTCTGTATGTGAATGATGGGTTTGTTGTTGGTGATTTCAAAACCGCCCGCGACCGCCGGGAGTCGAACCCGGGTCGACTGCCTCGCAAGGCAGCCATGATAGCCGTTACACCACGGTCGTGACTCATTCTACACCTCACACTGAATCCGCAACTACAACTACAACTACAACTACAACTACAACAACAAATACAACAACAAACACCCACTCGCAAACAAATCATGCATGCATTCACACTCACACACACACACACACACTATATCATTCACTCCGAAAACAATCACCAACACTACCTCTCCAACTCTGTCCGATCATCTCCGACTGTCTCGAACTAACTCTCCCACAGCACCGACAGACACCATCACCTACAACGTGCCAACATCAGCAATATCGTCAACACTATGCACTATGTGTCCAGCTGAAATACACCACATCACAACTTTGCCTGACCAAACTACACAAAGCACAATTTTTCACGTGCACTCTCTCCATCGACACCAACACGTGAATTATCCGGTCAGACGCATTCTATTGGACGAGCAATCGAGGTGAAAATATCTACAGATGAATGTCACAATAATCGGCAAGACATGTGAGTTGGTGATCGGACGGAAACTCGCTGTTCATCTACCGCATCGTCAACAAAGCACAGTATCGAATTGAGAAGCACACTGACTATGGTTGTGAGCAATCACACAATCAGTCGGTTCTATCCTCACCTGTGTTACACACTGGTTCTAGTGTACCGCTTCACATGTGTCCCGGTGTGGCTTTGTGTGTAGTGCACATGTAGTCCCCCAATCCACACACAATCGCCTCATCATTGTGTGTGTGCATACATGCTTGCAAACATGATTGTGCACATGATCGACCCATTGTGTGTGCGTTTGTATGGCGGAACTCACTCTGTGATGTCTGTATGTGAATGATGGGTTTGTTGTTGGTGATTTCAAAACCGCCCGCGACCGCCGGGAGTCGAACCCGGGTCGACTGCCTCGCAAGGCAGCCATGATAGCCGTTACACCACGGTCGTGACTCATTCTACACCTCACACTGAATCCGCAACTACAACTACAACTACAACTACAACTACAACAACAAATACAACAACAAACACCCACTCGCAAACAAATCATGCATGCATTCACACTCACACACACACACACACACTATATCATTCACTCCGAAAACAATCACCAACACTACCTCTCCAACTCTGTCCGATCATCTCCGACTGTCTCGAACTAACTCTCCCACAGCACCGACAGACACCACCACCTACAACGTGCCAACATCAGCAATATCGTCAACACTATGCACTATGTGTCCAGCTGAAATACACCACATCACAACTTTGCCTGACCAAACTACACAAAGCACAATTTTTCACGTGCACTCTCTCCATCGACACCAACACGTGAATTATCCGGTCAGACGCATTCTATTGGACGAGCAATCGAGGTGAAAATATCTACAGATGAATGTCACAATAATCGGCAAGACATGTGAGTTGGTGATCGGACGGAAACTCGCTGTTCATCTACCGCATCGTCAACAAAGCACAGTATCGAATTGAGAAGCACACTGACTATGGTTGTGAGCAATCACACAATCAGTCGGTTCTATCCTCACCTGTGTTACACACTGGTTCTAGTGTACCGCTTCACATGTGTCCCGGTGTGGCTTTGTGTGTAGTGCACATGTAGTCCCCCAATCCACACACAATCGCCTCATCATTGTGTGTGTGCATACATGCTTGCAAACATGATTGTGCACATTATCGACCCTTTTACCGAACTTCACTCAAAATCCTGTCTGTTCCCTCCATTCAATGTCGATCCACACGTCGTTCTCTTCGCCTTTTTTATTGTCGCTTTATTTGTCCGAAATTCATTTTGCCGCTTAGGTCTTATGCTACCCTTTATCGCTGTTACAAAATTGGCCATATAGGGTCTTTTGCAAATCCAACCGATCCAATAACCGTCGAAATGCACGGACGCAGCGTCGTTTTCACAAAAAGCCGATTACCTCATCAAGGAGTTTAGCAGCAGTCTTCCATACTCATGCCGCGACTCGACGCAAATTTCTGACCCTCTCAATCAATGGTCAGCCAGTTCGTTTGCAGTTGGACACTGCATCAGATATCACCATTCTGTCGAAAAAGACTTGGCGAACCTTGGGCCAACCTCCCATCAAACCATCCTCTCAGACAGCCGTCAGTGCCTGTGGGGGTCATCTCCGCCTTCATGGTGAACTCTATTGCTGCATTTCATTCAGAGGTACAACCTTCAATGGGACATGCTACATCACCAATTCTCCGCTCAACCTTTTAGGTTTAGATTGGTTCGAAGAACTTGGTCTCGCTGATCTTCCTATTAGCGCTATCTGCAATCAAGTCCAAACTACTGCTTCTACACAACAGCATGCTGAAGACCTTCGAAAACGATTTATTGAACTATTTAAGCCTGGTCTCGGACTTTTTTCCACAACTGAAGCTGTTTTAAAACTGCAGTCAGAAGCTACGCCAGTTTTTCGCCCAAAGCGTCCAGTCCCATACGCATCTTTACCTCTGGTTGACGCTGAACTTCAACGTTTGGAAACTGAGGGTGTCCTAGTACCTGTTTCTTATTCATCATGGGCTGCTCCAATTGTGGTTGTAAAAAAATCCAATGGTTCCATACGCATCTGTGCAGACTTTTCCACAGGACTCAACGGGCTCTACAACAGCATCACTATCCGCTGCCGATCCCAGATGACTTATTTACTATTTTAAATGGTGGTACCTATTTTGCTAAGCTGGATCTGGCAGATGCTTACCTTCAAATTCCAGTCGCTCTCGAATCCAGAGAGTTGTTGACAATCAACACTCACCGAGGACTTTTTCAGTATACCCGGTTACCCTTTGGTATCAAAACTGCTCCAGCGATCTTCCAGCAGATCATGGACACTATTCTGGCAGATGTTCCTGGTGTTGCTACATACCTTGACGATGTCCTCATTGTCGGCTCAACTGCTGATGAATTGCATACCAGAACCCACTTAGTTCTGCAACGCCTCCAGGATAATGGTTTTCGCCTTCGCCCAGAAAAATGCCAATTCTTCTTACGTTTCGTTAAGTACCTGGGGTTTATCTTTGATGCTTCCGGACGACACCCTGATCCTCAAAATACTTACGCAATCCAACAAATGCCTGCTCCCACTGATGTCTCCTCACTGCGATCATTTTTGGGAATGATTAGCTACTATTCAGCATTTCTTCCATCACTGCATGACGTACGATATCCATTAAATCGTCTGCTAGAAAAGAATGCTACTTGGAATTGGTCAACGCAATGTGAGTCAGCCTTTTCAAAACTTAAAGCCATGCTAAGTTCCAATCTTCTGCTAACCCACTACAATCCGAAACTACCCATTGTGGTTGCTGCTGACGCTTCAACACATGGACTGGGTGCCGTACTCTCACATGTCTTTCCCGACGGGTCAGAGAAAGCGGTGATGCACGCTTCGAGAACACTAACACCTGCTGAGAAACGCTACGGCCAGATAGAGAAGGAAGCGTTAGCCCTAATTTTTGCTGTCCGGCGATTCCACAAATTCATTTATGGGCGCCGTTTCACCTTGCTCACAGACCACAAGCCGTTGTTATCAATCTTTGGATCAAAGAAAGGCATTCCTGCCCATTCTGCTAATCGTCTTCAACGTTGGGCGTTGGCGTTATTGGGGTACGACTTCGACATCCAGTATCGACGTTCCGAAGATTTTGGTCAAGCAGATGCACTGTCCAGACTTATCAGTAACCATTCTACCACTGATGAGGACACACTCATAGCCATAGTATCAACCGAAGAGGATTCCGGTGCTACACTATTAGCGAATGCCGTTCGAGCAATGCCTGTTACCGCTGAAGATGTTCGGGAAGCTACCAGAGAAGACCCGATTATCCAAGAAGCGATCACCTATGTTCAGAGCAGATGGCCAGTTAAGCAGCTGAGTGGTGATATGCAACAACTAGCGAATCGTCGCAGCGCTCTCTGTATTGTTAACGATTGTCTGATGTTCGGTGATCGCGTAGTAATTCCAACAACCCTACGTTCCAAAGTCCTACGCCAATTCCACTCTGGACACCCAGGGATAAACCGTATGAAATCCATCGCTCGCAGCCATGCATATTGGCCGAATATGGACAAGCAGATTGTCGACTTCGTCAAAAGATGTTCACATTGTCAAAAAGCTGCGAAAAATCCTCCTAAGTTGCCTCCAGTACCCTGGCCAAAGTCAGAAAAACCCTGGTCGCGAGTGCATATTGACTTCACCGGACCCCTAGATGGTACCACATACCTGATACTGGTTGACTCCTACTCCAAATGGCCGGAGATATTGCCAATTGCGCCACCCTCTACAACTCGGACCATCAAACTCCTTAATCAGATCTTCGCTCAGCATGGTCTTCCAGAAACAATAGTAACAGACAATGGTTCACAATTCACATCTAGCCAATTCCGAGATTTTTGCCTGCAAAATTCGATCAACCATGCCCATTCTCCGCCATATCACCCGCAATCTAATGGACAAGCTGGAAGGTTCGTTGATACATTTAAACGAGCCATGCTTAAAGCACGAGGGGAGGGGACCACAGAAGATATCATAGAGTGATTTCTAGTTGTGTACCGGACGACTCCGCATGACTTATTGTCAAACTCCAAATCCTCTGCTGAGATGATTATAGAGTGAAAGCTACGGACAGCTCATAGCGCGTTGACACCCAACGAAGGGGCCCAGCAAAGCCCACAAATGAGAAATACTCGAATTCCCGACGAAATTGGTACGAAAGTGTATGCGCGAGATTCTAGACACGGATGCGATAGATGGGTAGAGGGTGAAGTCACAAAGAAACATGGGGACGTCATGTATGATGTCGAGGTGAGTCAAGAAATCTGGACCAGGCACCACAATCAACTAAGGCCAAGGGAAACTAAGGAGAAAGAAGCAATTACGAAACGCATCCTACTCGACTTGCTGTTGGATACTTTTCAACTTCGGCCAATACCTCTAACAGAGACGACTAAGTCATCTAGTCAAGTAGAACATCCTTCTGGTTCTATGTGGTTGCCTCGGAGGTCGGATCGCAAAAGAAGACACCCAAAGAAACTTCAAGTAAACTCTCGGTCACGTCGCTATTAACTTTTCCAAAGGGGAGGTGCTGGGATACTCAGAAAAATATCCCAAAATCAATTATCCGCTTACGTCTAATGCTACCCTTGAACGCTAAATTATGTGGTTTCCCTATTGGTCGTTTCCCTACTGATCAATATTTATTTGGCGTGTCATTTTCCTATTGGTTAATATTATCCGTGTCATCTTCCTGTTGGTCAATGTTTATAGTAATCCTAACTGTATAAATATGCATTTGTTTGTAAAACATTATTCGGCTCCTGACCCCATAGACAATTTTTCATCTACGGGTCGTGTTCTGATATATTGGAGATTGGGTAACATTATTGGGGTTGGACTGGGATATCTGAAGCTGGTCAATCGGTAGAAATTAGAGTAGCCACCTCGTGATTCACAATAGAATGAATGAAACAATTTGTGTTTGTTTCCATCTGAGATTGTGATGTGACATGTGGTTGTTTCTGAGTGAGTACACGATGTTAGGCTAAGTGTGTAATTTTGTATTTTTTTTGTATTGATTCATTTGGTTGTTTTATTTATGTAATTTCTTTTATCCTGTTTTTTGGCAAATTTCTTTCTTTGTGTTTTATTGTTTTTTCGAAACATTTTTTGTTGTTGTTTTTTGACGTGGATCATCCAATTTTTTTTTGTATTGATTTTTTTAAATAATTTTTTATTTTCATTTCTTTTCTGTGACTCAATTCTCTCGTTATTTAATTAATTTTGTTTATCGGTTTATACTACTTACTAATATTTAGTAAACAGTTGTTATCGTCACAAAATGTTCAACGCAAGTTTGTTTGTAGTAAATATATGAATATATTTTTGTGTACTGAAATGATTTACTGTATTTAATAACTATGATTACTTTCTCTTCGCCTCTGTCACAGTTTTTCCCAGTTTGCTGTAACCATTAAATGTTTGTTTAAACACTACGGTTACCATATTTGTTTACTCTTGTTTAGTTTTATAGCTTGTTAATTTACTATTGTCCAGTTTAGATAGATCAATCAGCTCTCATTGAAACTATTATAAATTGTGATTATTTTTCATGTTATACATGTCGGAAACCTTTTTTTTTTCTTTCAAATTTACAGGTATGCTTAACACTATAGTTACTTCATGAATTGATGTTAATCACTTATTTATGTTCATTCCTCAATAAATCATCATTCTTTAGACAAAGATTTCTTTGATGAACTTCAATTTCAAGTGTATTACAATGATGTGATTAAACTTTCTATAGATTTAACATATACACATTATGCTGTCAAACAAAATATCGATCATGATATTAGTTCTTTTTGTTGTTGTTTCATATTGAATGTTCTTTAGAATTGATTGATCACTAAGAAATGATCATGTCAAGTCGTTGTTAAATGTTCTTTCATGAATCTTTATATTATCAAATTAATAACATTTTGGCAAATGTTAGTTATTACAATTGGCTGTTTCAAACTTGATTTCCTTATGTAAAAGTACCATGCATAAACATTCATTATATGATGACTCTTAAAACTTCTAAGTATATTTACGCTATAAATTTGATTTTAATCTAGTGAACAAAAGTGCAAGTAGGAATAACCAAATGTATTTTATCATAAAATTACAGAATATTTTGCTAAAATCTGAAAACCATACAGTAAATACTTCATTTCCTAAATGTTAATCAATTGTCTCAAACTTTATTGCTCCTTCGTTTTCACACCAATCAATCTTTGTTCTCGTTCTCTTCTCTTCAGTTTTTCAACCTCGAAGCATTCCATTTTCCATTAGTGATACATACTGTTCATGTCTGTCGACATCAGTAGCACACACCACAAGTGTACTGATAATCTTGAGACGACCGATGACTCCTGATGGGTTTCATCTCATGTCACTCAGATTCATAATCAGAGACGTGACCACTAAGCTATCCGAGTCACGACACACCTACTGTATTCCCAGAATAATATTTGCTATCACCCGATTGCTTATCATTTTTAGTCTATTAACTTCATAAGGCACTCCAAGTTAATAACATGGTACCATAGAATAGAGTAAAATTTTTTTCAGTTTTTGACTTCTGTAGGGAATATAAAGTTATCCTGAAAGTCTCACCTTCTCTATTACTGTGTGTGGATGTTTAACGTTAAAGTGTTGTTGTGTGACAAACATTCACTCTATCTGAATCCTTATTCATGGCGTCGCAGTAGAAACCTCAATCATTCGTAAATAGGACTTATTCTACACTAACCGGAAACTAAGATACCTCAGTAGTTCTTGTCGAAATTTAGCATAAGATATGTGGTGATTTATGAGGTTTATGAAGCCCATGAATACTAACCGGTTAACTGAACACAAATGAATGAGAAAAGTATTACCACAGTTAATTGTCCAAAAATAAGCAATTGTGATGAGATAAATGAGTGAAGGATATAAACTTTGTGTTTAACTTGACGTTTCCTGTCAATGCAGATCAACAGTCTCATGGGAAATGGAACTCAGTATTCTTAATATTTTGTATAAATGGTCATTATAACATAAACATTTATTTTAACCAGAAACGAATAGTTTCTAGCAGTGGAATTCAGAACACTCGTTTCATACTTGATTGATTGTTCTTTTCTACATCAATCATTCTTTATTCATGTTCACGTTCGATCTTCATAACCTACTGCCACCAGGCATTCTATATACAATACTACTTATATCCATTGACATCAGTAGCATATAACACATTAATACTTCCTTTTAATATTTTATAATTATTTATCAATATCACCTTCAGTTACTTAAATGATTCTTCACGTTTTTTGAACTTGTCATATATCCTCTTTGATACAAAACTTTACAAGAAAACTTCATTACGTAATCATTGTTGGTTACCTTTATTACCGTGTTATAGCTGTAACAGTATTATATGAATATTCATATTCTTTTGCATTATAAGCTTCCATTTAATCTATTGACTAAGATGACATGATTTACTATTCTTAAGTTATTCTCAACCTATTCGTTTCAATCTTTCACATTCACAATCATCTTTTGGCTTGATCTTGTATAATTGTTATTTTCTATTCTATGATATGATGTAGTCTAAATTGCTTGTATATAAACTCCAGTATGTTTGAAATAAATGATTCATGCAATGAAAGGTGAGATTGTATTCTAGACTTAATGGTTACAATTAGAAGAGAAGGATTCAGAGTTAAATTTAGACTGGTGGTACTGGTTAACGCATCATTCATTTGGCACAATGCCAAAGTCATATAAGCCGATGCTTATAATTGATGATCTTATCATGTAGTTTATTATCAAGACATAAGAACAAAACAGTAATAATATCAGTTGGTGTATGAACGATTTGGTATAGAACGAGGAAGAAATGAGATTTTGAGACTCAAGAATCTAACCTATGCTAAGTCATTGGCTACCATCACAGATTGATTGTAGTAACTTTTATCCTGTTTTACCTCCTGTATTTCTTTAATAGAATAAATTTAATTGTATGGCTACAAAATATTTTTACAATATAGCTGATATAAATTCCTAATTAAAATCGTAATTGTAATTAAGAACAACGTAGTTGAAGTCATGAGTCAATTGAAGTTAGGTTACCATGAAAAATGTGGAAGCATTGGACGGCGGTTTCATCCTATTGTGGGACTCTTCATCAGTGCGCATCTACGATCATCCACGTTTCCCATGATGGTCTAGCTCCAATTGCCTAATGAATTCAACTATACAATTACTAAAATCTCCACAAAACCCCCTTTTGACACTAAAAGATTGTTTGGATTCTTTTAAGAGTTCTCATAGATGGACAAATTATATTGTTTTTACAATTTATTGTGGTGTGTGATACTGATGTCAATAGATATAAGTAGAATTTATCATCAATGGAAAGTTAAATGTCTAGCGGCAGAAGGTTAAGAAGATCGAAGAAAGCAGAACGAGAATAATGGATGATTGGTGTGGAAACGAAGGAACAATGAAGTCTGAGATGATTGATTGACATTTTGCAAATGAAGAATCTACTGTATAACTTACTAACTCCTGTAACTCCTCATTGGAGGAGCATAGGCCAACCACAAGCACTCTTCATCCAACCCTGTCCTGAACAATCCTTTCTAGCTCCTTCCAGTTGTTATTCATCCTCTTCATATCTGCTTCTATTTCCCGACGTAATGTGCTCAATGGCCTTCCTCTTTTCCTCTTCCAAGTTAGCACATTTCTCATGATGTAGTTTGATGATTTGCATAATGGATGTCCTATCCATTTTCATCGTATTTTTCTAATTGTTTCTTCAACTGGAAGCTGGTTTGTTCTCTTCCATAGTAGGCTGTTGCTGATGGTATCCGGCCAATGAATGTTGAATATCTTACGTAGACAGCTATTGATAAATACTTGTACCTTCTTGATGATAGTTGTAGTAGTTTCAGCTCCGCACAGTAGAACTGCCTTGACGTTTGTGACTTTGATATTGGTTGAAAGTTGTTTTGAATTTCATATGTTCTTCAATTGTAGGAATGCGGCCCTCGCTTTACCAATCCTCGCCTTTACGTCTGCATCTGAACCTCCTCGTTCGTCGATGACGCTTCGTAGGTACGTGGAGGATTCCACATCTTCTAGAGATTCGCCATCAAGTGTGATTGGGTTGGTGTTCTCCGTGCTGTGTTTGAGGATCTTAGTTCTCCCCTTGTGTATGTTGAGGCCTACTGATGCAAAGACTGCTGCTATACTGGTTGTCTTTATCTGCATTTGTTCGTGTGTATGCGATAGGAGGGCTCGGTCATCTGCGAAGTCCAAATCTTCTAAATGGTTCTGGGCTGTCTATTGTATTCCATGTTTTCCCTTACATGTCGAGGTCTTCATAATCCAGTCGACCATCAGAAGAAAGATGAAGGGAGAGAGTAGACAGCTTTGTCTGACTTCGGTTCTTACTTGAAATGTATCTGTCAGCTGTCCTCCATGTGAACGCTAATGCTAACCGGAAGAAATAATTCACTATATGGTTCTCAGATTTTACTAAGGCATTTTTGTATTTAATGACATTCCATTAGTCTCCAGTTATATGTTCTCGTTCACTTCATATTGATAAAGTAACTTATAGGAACTATTAATAGTTTTATTAAGTTGAATGAAATCTGTTTATACTTTGTTATTTCTTCTGTCTTATTCTCTATAACTTATTCATTTATTTGTCCTTGGTAACTGTTTACCATTATTATGTCCCGATAAGCATAATGAATGGTAACTTTTGGGATCCATTTATGGACCAATACTATACGTATATTTTTATCGTATAATTGTTAGATAACTAAACTATTCATATTCATGTTCCTTTTTTTATGAGGTTCATTTTGACCTATGAACTATTATTGTACGATCTACCATTCTTGAATTATGCCCTGTCTATTAATTACTAGCTCCCTCATTCACAGCCACATTTGGCTAAGTCTTGTACAAATGTTGTTTCCCATTTTACGGTACGTTGTGGTCTGTTTGATTGGTACATAAACCCTGTATGCTTGAGATAAATGATTCATATTGCAGAGACTGAGATTGGTGTTCTGAATTAACTGGCTGGGCTAGGCGGAAAGCAGGACCGATAAGGACTCTAGACTGCTCGTACGGGTTTTATGCATCATTGGTCCGACCGATAATTCACTGCTCTCTAATTGGCGGTATTGTTACGTTATACATTAACAGGACACTCAAACCACAAGTTATAACAACCATCATATGTATTCATGGTTTATTTGTATGTACCTATCTATTTACATGTATTTCATACATTGTTGTATTATCTATCAGTGCACTACATCTCTTATCATCTGTCTATGTAAATAAATGTCTCAAATGAATCATTTCGACATATTTTACACCTTATAATCATCATTGTACAATATAGTTCATGATATAGTGAGCCAATCAGAAGTAGCCTAATGAGGTCATTCAATAGTAATCAAAAGTAACTTGATAGATAAATGCATTTCAGTGGATAAGAAATGGATTGATTTCCTAAAAGGGTTGAGTTGTACATATCCGAATAAGTAATTGTATATTTTATTCGGTAATTTAATATACTTTCGTGTCCACTCTTGTATTCTTGCTTATGATGTCAAATGGGGGGGGGTAGGGTAGGCACAACAGTTAGCTTAAGTATAATATATGAAATTAATTTAGTAATTACGCTTCATTATTGTTACCATTCAACTAGAATCAATTTAAGGCTACAAAAGGGTTACTTTAGTTATTTTTAAACGATTATTATTATTAATAGTTTTAAATGTACTCAAATTTCATATTTGAAAGGGTTTTGTGTGGATATTATAGTAATTTTAAGAGTTGAGATCATGAGTCAATTGAAGCTAGATCACCATGGAAAACCTCAAAGCACTGGACATCTGTTTCTTCTTACTATGGGACGCTTCGGCACTGCGTATCCACGATCCTGCCTCGTGAGATTCGAATATAGGACCTATCGCTCTCGTGAGTGGACGCTTAACCTCTAGACCACTGAACTGGCCAGCATCCAACGACGTTAGAAACAATTTGTGTTGATCAATAACTGTATTCAATATGAATAAGTGATTAAGAAGATAGAATCAATGAAATCAGGTCGCCTTAAACTACATCAATTATCTATCAACAATCTATCATGAGAATAATAAAAGCTTCGATTACTAGTCAACAGATATCAACTTATTACTTAATTGATACTTCTTTTCTTATCTTATGTATACTTTAAAAGTTTACAATAATTTGTCAAATGACACCGATTCAATAATGAAAGACACCTTCACATCTATACAGTACATATATAAACATCAAATGTAACAATTTGATCAATTCACCCACCCCCCCCTCTTATATCAAGAAAATGAAATGATAATTTTCCCAATTAAAACTGGCGGTAAATCATTTTGTAAATGTATTATGATATTTTTATAGAATAATGATAATCAATAAAAATCAACAAAATCCATGTGTATATTTCTTAGGTATGAATAATGTCTTAGCAACTAAACACACACACACACGCACACGCACACGCAAAAAACGAGATGAGTGAAACAATTGAAAAGCACCGTAATATAAAGATACATAAATGAATAGGAAGTCATATTATTTTTTCTTTCTTTTCTATGTTCTCTCCAGCACTACTGAAATAAGTAGTGCCATAAATATTATAGTAATCATTATCATCATCATAATAATAATAACAAGCATCTAAAAAGATTAAATCAATAAAATAGTTCATGAATGTGAAAATAAAAAGAACCAAATCATGATGCCTATCATTTTGTATACTACACAATCAAATATAATAAATAACTTTTCTGATCTTTCACCCCCCCCCACTATCATCATCATCATCACAACTTGTACTACCGAAATGAATATAAGTAATAGATGAAGAAGTAAAGCAAAGAAAAGAAAAGAAAACAATATTATCTCATGATTAATATAATTCAATGAATCAATGTATAGATTAGATTTGTTTATGCATAGTTACAATTTCTTAAAAATAACTCTCCATGAGATAATTCAAGTGAATTATTATAAAGGATATAGTTAGTTGTCATAGGAAATAGGATCATTGATCATGATAAAGAAAATTAGTTGATATATTAATCAATAAAAGATATTATGAACAATAATAATAATAACAACTCGGTAAAATATATACGGGAAGATGTATGCATGTAGTATCCATGTGTATATACTTCTATCTATGTAGTATGTATATTGTATGTATATAAACTGAACCATTGATCAAGAGTTATATGGATGTATACACATATATATATATATGTCAGTAAGTGGGAGAGATACAAATAGACAAGATAAGTTTTACGGCATGCCATTCAAACAAACAAACAAACAAATATTCAATAAAATAATCGATCATTGAAAGACATCAGCATTCAAAGGTTTCATTTAATCATCATCATCATCATCATCATCATTCAAGCTCATGTAATCATCCATTATATTTGATTAGATTGATGGTTGTGATATACCAGTAGTTAATTTATAAAAAATATCTTCAGCAAGATATTGATTTTTCTCTGGTGATCTTAAATTTAAAAATGTATAACCGCCTAAAAATTCAGCTATCATTCTTACAGATACATCTATTGGTCTTATAATAACTCGACCAGTAAATTCATTGAATTTACCAATGGATTGATGAAGTTGATGATCCATTTTACTATTACTACTATTACTACTATTATTAATATTATGAGTAGTATTCTTAGTATTAGATTGAATTTTTGTTTGATTCATTAAATTTAATATAAGTTCATTTAATTCCCAATTAATATGCCAACTTTGTATTGATGACATTTTCCAACTTGCTATAATATCACCATTTGTTAAATCACAACGATAAATTCGTTTAGATCCAATACCAATCGATTCTATTTTACGACTTATTGATATAGTTACATAATTATTATAATGAATAATTGATTGATTTATATTAGATAACCACCAATTGATTTGACTATTACTATCATTACATAATGCATCATTTTCATTATGAATTAATGTATTCAATGGTACAATAACTTCAATACGTCCAGTAAAAAATGCAATACCATGTAAATGTAATTGTTCCCATACATTAATATATTTTAATTTACATTGTAAACTTGTTAAATTATTAATTTGACTATATATAGATGTAATACGTTGAATAAAATTTGTTCGTGTCTAATGAGAACAATAAAGTAAGAGAAAAACATATCATATATGAGTATAATTGTAACTATTAGATTAATAATGATTGTTGATGTATATCCTGGAGTTCTAGTGAAAAAGCTGTGACCAGTGCAATTCAACCGGTTCAGTGGTATAGTGGTTAAATGCTCGCGTGCGAGACCAGCAGGTCCTGGATTTGAATCTTGCAGCACGGAATCATGGATGCGTACTGCTGAGGAGTCCCACAATAAGACGAAGTGGCCGTCCACTGCTTCCAGGTTTTCCATAGTGGTCTAGCTTCAATTGACTCATGATTTCAACAATTGAAAATAAATATAAGTATTAGGTCAATAATGATTGTTGAATTTTGTTTGAGATCATGAATCGATTAATGTTAGATCACGATTGAAAATGTGGATGTAATAGACAGCTGTTTTGTCCTAGTATGAGACTCTTCAGCAGTGAGTATGTATGATTCAATGTATGGGATTTGAATACAGGACCGTCAGTTCCGTGCATGAACCCTTAACCTTTGCATGAAACAATCGTTCAGTACTTCTAGGTATTCAATGGTAGTTTAATATTGATCGATTTATGATCATAATGATAACTTTAAAATAGTTGGAATGATATAAACGGAAGCTGTTTAATAAACTTACTAAAAGAATGAGAGATTGAGTTTTGATTGAAATCATGAAACGATTGATGTTAGACTACTATTGAAAACCTGGAAGCAATGAATGGCTGTTACGTCCTAGTATGAGACTCCTCAGCAGTGGGCATACATGATACAATGCATGGGATTTGAATATAGGACTGTCGGTCCCATGCATGAACCTGAACTATATACAAACATTATGATTGCAACTCAAGTGTGTAAGTTTTGCCAGATGATTTAAAACGCCACTTAAACCTGAGATTTAATGATTTCATGTCAAATGTTTTAGATCATTCAGTCAAGAAACAATGTAATTTATAAAGAATAGATAGCCATGGAATCCATGACACGCGTTTTGTTCTATCTGAGACTCGTCAGCTGGATTTACTTGAATCCTAAAGTCGATGTTTGCTGAAGGACTTAAATCTAGTATCTTTCGCTTCAAACACCACCTATTTATTCACTTAGCTACTGAGTCCAGACAGTTATTCGCCTGGATTCTACCGTCAGCCACATTCTATCTATTCGATATCAACTTGTATCATAAAGGCTATATCGAGTCAATCTGTGAAGGATGTACATATACCTAAAATGGCTTTTAAGTTGACGTCATTTGCATCAAAAAAGATCTATTCAGACAATTCGGTTGACATTCGATTTTACATGATTTGACGTAAAATCAATTCAATATACCATACGAGCACTACTGAGAAGTCTAAGAATGAAATAATTGTTCATTTTTCATCGATTTTTACTAAATTATCAGTATGGGGTTGTGGAGATTATTATGATTTTCATTGAGATCATGAACCGATTGATGTTAGACAACCGTTGAAAACGTAGAGGTACTTGATGGTCGTTTCGTCCTATTGTGGAACTCCTCAACAGTGAGCATTCATAATACCACTTGCGGGATTCGAACCCAGGGCCTTCGGCCTCTAAATTGTTAGATATGGACGATTATTCGGGAAAGATGGAACTATTAGAACTATGCACATCATTCGCTTATTACTCAATTTTTCTATTGTTGGTTATATACATATTTTGATTTCTTATTTGTGATGCATTGTTGTTGCGTGATTTATGTATGTAATCCTATACATTTTTGAGTTATATGATAGATGACAAATTGGGTTGGTATTCTCTCATTCTGATTGGTCATTAGAGATAAAGGAGTTGTGCTAACCAGTATAGAACAGTATTTTCAGTCACTGTTGTTGATTATTTATCTCACTGATTAAAAGAGTAAAGTGAACTAGTTGTTAGCGGACTGTAGAATCGAATTATCCTAGCTAATAGACACAATAGTTTCATTCAGTGTGTATATGCTGATCTACTAAATCGATTTGCTAGAGTGAATCAGTTATCAGTAGACGACAGTGGGAAACGTGTGAATCGTTAATGGGGAATATATTTGCGGACGAAGAATACAATTAATGCTATATTGAACACCACCAATCGGTACTTCACTCACATCCCGTAACACTCACCTTCTTCCAGTGCTTACTTCTTCCGATTTCTGCCCATGTTGGTAACCTCTCGGAAGACCGATTCCCCTCATTTCTCGTGCTTTACTCAAACTTCTTCCATCCTATCCACGACTAATCATATGTTTACAATCCACTCATTCTCGCACTTTAAAACTATTCACTCTGCGTTGCTACCACTCCGGTTGAATTGTTCTGAGACCAGCGATTTCCTGTGAACCATTACGCCAACACAAACAACTCTTTTCAACCAGTCTTACCAGCTATATGAAATAGTCGTTCAATTTTCCTCGACTAAATTATCAAAATGGGATTTTGCAGATTATTTATGTTACCGACTAAAGATTAAAGCCGTGACCAGTGGAGCTAATCTGTGTCGGGTAGAGACAATTATCTACCTCACTACAATGGAAGATGGTCGGGCACTTTCGTGGATTGGTTGAGGTTAGGCATTAACATCGTTTGATACCGGCTCAGTGGTCTAGTAGATTGAGCTTTCGTGCATTAGACTGAAGGCCCAGTGTTCGAATCCTGTGAGCGGGATCGTGGATGCACACTGTTGAGGAGTCCCACAATAGGACGAAACGACCATCCATTACTTCCAGATTTCCAACGGTGGTTTAACATCAATCGGTTCATGATCTCAATCAATAACTTAATAATCTCCACAATCCTATACTGATAAAATGAACTACTTATTGTCGGACTACAGAATCGAATTATCGTAGCTAATAGACACATAAATCTTGGTTTATATGCGCTGGTACGGCTGAAAGTGGGGAAAGTCAGGTTGCCCTCTTGAAATGCTCTCACATGGCTACGTGCATACAACTACTGACATGACGTGGGTGTTGTTTACAAGATTGATAGGACTAAAAGTGAAAGTCTAGTGCTTAAAACGGGATGGTGGACACAGAGAGTTCACTTAGGGAAGTTAGAAAACCCTTATTCCAAACCAATAGTATATATGGACTCCAGTATCCTAAAAGAACAAACAGCATATGAATCAATCATTGGTCATCAGTTACCATAGGATTATATCTCTTTACGTTGCTCCATTACCTTGTAGAATCAAACCCTTTTCGCGATCAAATAACAATGAACATTCATATTAATTCAAAATAAAATTTCAATATAAACTTACTTGTATAGTTTGTGAATGAATCGGAGGTTTATCTTGATTTGTTAAAGTATTTGAACGTTTTAATAAACTATCATATTGATTATAATAATGATCTCGTCTATAATCCCATGTTCTTTGTGATACTTTTAAATAACCTAATCTTAATGGTAATAGATCAATGAAACGTTTCTCTAAATGATTATATAATCTAGTTAAATTGATCATTTCATTATTTGTTTGTTTAAGATTTAAACAATTTGGTGATAATAAATTGATAAGATTTCTAATTGCTTTATGTTCTATATTGAATGTGGAACGATTTAATAAGAAGAAAGAATAGTTTGTTGTTTCTTAGATGATTTCTTAGATGATGTATTAGAGATATCTGTATAAGAATGAAGCGTGATTGTTGATTGTATAGCTGTTGTCATACGTAATATTGTTAACCAATCTATGTAATCATTTAAATTAAAAAATCGTAACCATAATTCATTGATAAGACCAGTCATAGTAGCCGATGAACCAGTTAATGCACCAATACCACTTATATTAATGAGTCCATTCTGTGTATGATGATGTGATGATGAGGATGATGATGATGATATACCAAGAGCATTACTTAAATGGGATAATGAAGTTAATGATAATAATGATGCTCTACGTTTTAATTTACTACTTATAGTTGGATCTTCATCATTTGTTTGTATCTTATTTGATTGATATGAAGCAAATGCAGATGATAATGGTAAATTAGTACGTGTTATTGGAACAAATAAACGTATATTAAATTTTTCATTAGTAATACATAAATCTGATTGTATTTCACATCCTGGTAAATAGATTACTTCAACTGTATCACTATTTGATAAATAATCATCTTTGTTCTAGGAAAAATAACAAAATCAAGAAGAAGAACGAGAAAAAGAAAGAAATTAATTTCATCGATCAATACTGTAATCATATAGTCAGTCAGTAACAACGTAGAACTTCGTACGTACGTACGTACGTACATCAGTTCGAGTTGCCGTACCACATTATAACAGACATCAATTCAAATCCCGTAGAGGTAGAGGTGGCAAGAGTGTAAGCAGTAATCGGAAAGATTAGGGTTCGGAGATGTTATTCAATGAGTATAATGATATAAGTTAGATAGTTATTAAAAACAAAGAAAATCTGAACCATTATTTGATTCAAGTATAAGAATTAAACAGTGAATACCCATGAACACATTCTAGATAGAACTGATGAATGTTAGAATCATATTGTAAACTTACAAACTTAATGTAAACTAATGAATTGTCTACATTTTGGCTGTTTACCGTTAAGGCACAAAGTCTCGTGTTTAGTACCGGATGGAGCATGTGTATAAATGATTGAGATATTTTTTACTAGAACGAAAAATTTCTTCAGTTCTTCGTGGGTTTTTACTAGTTATCTAACTAATATATTCCTGATGAATAATAAAGCTTCAATGTCAAACATCTACACCAATGCTCTATATGCTTGAAGAATGATGCCAGAGTCCATGAAATGACAGTATGTATATGACTCATTTAAATTTGACAACCTCATTTGTTTATAAATTGTAACATTTGAGATAAGT